CCTGGGCACAGGCTGGCACACTGCTGGCCCAGGGCTTGGTGAGGACCACCGTGCACCCCCTGAAATACCCTAGAAAGAGCTTCAGACCCCGGGCCTGCCTGGAGTTGCAGGGCCAACTGCCCCCAGCAGAACAGGGGCATCTGAGCTATCTCTTGGCCAAGCTAAGGTGAATGTCAGCGCTGAGCCGGGCGTACCACCCGTGCCCAAGGTGCCTCCTAGAGGCATAAACAAATCTGAAACTCTACCCTCCTGAGCATCTGAGAATAACTGCCTGCCCTGCCCTCCACAGCTAGGCTCCAGCGTGTCCCCCAAGGCACCTGTGCTCGGCGTTGGGGGGGGAATGACACAGCCAGGCCCGCCTGGCGGCAGGAGGAAGAGCCATTCAGAAAGGGTGAGTCGGCTAAAGGAGCTGTCCTCAAGTTTGCACAGGGGCTGCCCCACAAGTCCCGACTCCTCCCTCCTATCAAGTCACTGGATGTCGCTGGCTTTCCTCATTTGTGTTTTAATCCTCACTAAAGGATTTTTCCATTGATTTTCAGAGAGAATGAAAGGGAGGGAGAAGGGGTGGGGAGAGAGAGAGAGACATCAATGTGAGAGAGACACATCAATTGGTTGCCTCCCTCACGTGACCCAACTGGGGCTGGGATGGAACCTGCAATGGCGGTACATGCCCTAGATTGGGAATGGAACCTGAGACCCTTCGGTCTGCGGGCTGATGCCCCAACCACCGAGCCAAACCGGCCAGGGCCAGCTTTCTTTCCTCCTGACTCAGCTTCCAACAACATCCCTAACAGCTGCCAGAACCTCACCAGAGAGAAAATTCCAGATAGGGTTGGGTTCAAACATCTGAAAGGGGCCTCTCCTGCCTGCCTAGGTAACGTGGGTGTGTCTACACCCACCAGAGGCATCTGGAGGAGCGACTGGCCTGTCCGTCTTTGCCCACAGGAGCTTCCCGCTTCCCTCCTGATCCTGGGCTTGGGCAGATGGGGGGCTGGCCAGCACTGCAGAGTGGGGGCAGGCACCCAAGGCTTCCACTCCTGCCTGACACCCCATCCCGGTGGAGGGAAGTCTGCTGGGGGAGTAAAATGAGGCCGGGGGTGGGGAGAGAGGGGGCTGGTTCACCAGGGCCGGGCTCAGGGACAGAGGGCTCAGGGTGTCTTTCTCAGGGCAGGTGCAGGAATGGGGCTGCAGCCCTGCCCCACCACCCTGGAACCCCTGGCAGGACCCCTCCTTCCCAATGCTCTGGGTCAGCCTCCCTGCACCCCACAGCTGCAGCCCCAACCCCACCTGGACCAAACCAGGACACAACCTGAGGAGAAGGCACCGCCACAGGTGCCCATTTCTCCAACAGCACATCCAGGGTTAAGGAGTCCGAGTCCCTGTCCTCATGGGGCTGACCCTCTATGGCAGTGATGGCGAACCTTTTGAGCTCGGCGTGTCAGCATTTTGAAAAACCCTAACTTAACTCTGGTGCTGTGTCACATATAGAAAATTTTTTTTAAAATATATTTTTTTATTGATTTTTTACAGAGAGGAAGGGAGAGAGATAGAGAAAAAGAGTAAAAACAGAGGAGAGGACAGCACCGTGATGGCGAACCTTTTGAGCTCGGCGTGTCAGCATTTTGCAAAACCCTAACTTAACTCTGGTGCCGTGTCACATATAGAAATTTTTTGATATTTGCAACCATAGTAAAACAAAGACTTATATTTTTGATATTTATTTTATATATTTAAATGCCATTTAACAAAGAAAAATCAACCAAAAAAATGAGTTCGCGTGTCACCTCTGACACGCGTGTCATAGGTTCGCCATCACTGCTCTATGGGCACAAGAAACAACGGCAAGGTAGACAGCCACAGGGGCCACAAGGTGGAAGGAGATGGGACCGCGGGCAGGGAGAGGCTCGGGGACACCGGACTCCAGCAGAGCCAACTCTGGGGCCCTCCAGGGTGGTGCAGGGACTGTAGGGGAGCCCTAGGCCTCAGCGTCAGGAAAGAGCGGTGAGCAGAGCAGCGCCAGGGCAGAAGAGCCCTGCAGTCCAGTCACTGCCCTCTGGTCCTGGGTCCCATCCTCTGTGCACAGGGCAGGGCCCGGACAGTAGCTGCCACCAACCTGTCTTCAGGGAGAACTTGCCTGGCCCTGCCTCCTCTGATCTGGGGCTAAATCAAAGATTATTTGGAACCAGCAGGTGTCGCCGACAGGTCCTATTAGATCTTGTCACGCCATACCCAGCTCTTTGTCGCTGCTCACTGGGAGGGTGCGAGCCCAGGAGGACACATGCTCCATCAGGGCCGACACTCCGGCAGGAGCTGCCAGGGCGGGGCGGCCGGGCCTCATTCCTCTCCCTGCAGCACCCAGGCTGCCCTGGAGGGCTCCCTCCCGTGACGGCCCATCGGAGCCCAGGAGCCCAGGCTGAGCCCTCCGCTGAGCCTTCCCCAGGGCACAGCTCCGACCAGCAGGGAGGCCAGCCTGCGGGCGCGGGGCGGGCCAGCACTGCTCCGCACCGCCCCCGGGTGGCGCGGGCCGCAGAGGCACCGAGCGGGAGGCAGTTTCCTCTCGGCCACTTCCGCCTCCCAGCAGCCAGGCTCCTCCCCACTGCACCCACGAGGTCCCCTCGCGAACCCCTACAGAAGCCTCGAGAGTGTTCCTCCGCCGGGCGGGACAGTCCGAGGACCATCCATGCACCACCTGACCCCCAGGCTCCTGAGCCCTGCCCTCTCGGGGGGCGGGGG